CGAGAGATTAGATTACAAATAGAAAACGTCGACATCTTTTTAGAATTGAAGTTGAATCTTGCAATGAAAACTGTTGAAAGTCTCATCTTGTACGATCACTTTTCAATGTCTGTTTATCATATGATTCGCATTTTATAATTTAAAATTAAATATTGAGAAGACTTACAGGTATGTAGCTCCCCCGTTGCTAACACTTCTTAAACTATTAAATAGACTACCTCTGTGTAAGTAAATTAACACGACGATTAAGGTAAACAAATTTGTGGGCGGAGCAGTATTACCAACCTCAACTGTTGACGGAAAATGTTTCTTGCTATTATGCTGTAGAAGTAGAACAAGAGGGTTGACTTTGAGCCCAAAGGAGAAGCGTAAGGCTCTTTGGCCTTCAGTAATAATGGGCTTTATGAGCTTTAGGTCTTATAGTAACGTTGTGGGCCAAGAGCTCTTTAATGCAACGTTGTGAGACGAAACCTTTACAAATGTGGGATTCACATGCAAGGTTGTCAAACCGGTTTATACCGTTATGCCGGTTTGGCAAGTGCAATGGTACGACCGATGGTATAATCAGTTTGTGCCGGTTCATGCCGGTCTAAAAAAATGTGAAAACAATTAATATCCAATGTATTTAATCATATATAAAAATATATTTATGGACAATTTAGTTACAATCCAACAAATATCATCAACTTTTAACTATTACATTCATAAAATGAATAATAAATTATTTATTTTATTCATGGCTAGTGGTATTACCACTAGACCAATCCCTTGTTCGTAAGAAATCTTCTCATTTGACCGCTACAAAAGAAATGAATCATGGTATAGGCTTCTTTTTTCAAGTTGACGAAACCAATTTGATAGTGTGTTGTTTCATCTGGATCATATCTCAAATTTGCTGCTGCACAACGAATCATCGAAAGGGATCCTCGTATCCCGAAGAAGGATTTCACATAGATTATTTTATGCGACTCCTCACATGGCTTCTACACATAAAAAGCCCTTTGAAATAAAAACAATAGAATTCGAAAACAACGGAGATACCGCGCCTAAAAATTTACAAAGAATACTACTCTTGCGACTACCAGCCGCCTAACCGAACCTTTGACAGAACGAGATTTAATTCACCGGCCGGACTTGTAATATTTCCAGAATTCCAGTTATTATTCTTTGAATGGACCGGATTACGCCTCACGAATCTCGATCCACCGAACATCAAACCCAAGTATTTCCACTTCAATGTGAACTCAACACCGAGTGCCACGCCCACGTACCAGGAATCCGGGAAAGAGACCCGGCCGGCCGGCCGGCGGTAGGTTAGCTGGAATTCGTCTTTTTCAACAACGACGACGAAGAAAAACATAACTACAGGTATGGAGCAATCTATCCCCATAACCCTTCAATGTCTAGAAGCGTTAGTACACCAACTTCATCAACAAGCACGCGATGAACCATTCTCTATTCGACGAGGGTGATTAATCGTCATAGCAATATACCCTGTTTCAATGAACGCTCAAATTAAGAGTTATCACGACGTCTCCGCGCGAACTGTTTCTTTTATGTTGCTCTGTTTTGCTCTCTGGACTCCATGTCAAAGTATTAAAAAGGAGGACGTCGCTTTCCAACGAAAATATCACTTGTATCCCTTTTTCGAATACAAAATCTACCTTTTTAAATAATAAATGTGGAACAAAAGAAAAATAAATAACAATCTCAGCTTAAATCTCAATTGTTAAGCTGAGATAGTACAATTTATTTTTAATTGTCATACTAAGTAAACAATACAAGTATTTTGAGTACATACAAATATGGTAAAAGGATGTTTCCAAAGACCAAAAACAATCACATAAACCAAACGACCCCTAAGAGTATGAGATTATGAAAAGTATATGTGACAGAATCGCTAATGGTGCCTCTCAAACCATTGATGGCCGTTCTGGCCGCGATCTTAACGAATGCAACACAATGTTTGTGCCTTAACCTCGTGAGATTTCCAACGACCTTTTCTGGTTGAACTTCATCTTTCCAGTAATGAAAAACAACTTTAGTGATAAAGATTATTCCTACAACTGCTCAAACAACTATCTTGTGTTTGATTCCCTTGTATCACGCATTCGGTATAGTTGGCAAGATCCTCCAACTATTGAAACCTGGACCACAAAAGGCTTAAGTTAATCATGTTAGGCTTCAATCAGTAAGTTAACCAAAATTTAAGGTTAAAAAAGAGAGAGAACCCAAACTTCTCCCTTCAAATTTGCAGCAGAAATCATGGATGAGATCTCAGTATCTCACCCAAATGCGGAAGAACTAATTAACAATTGTTTTTCACCAACCGTGGTTAATCAAAAACGCATTTCCCACAGTGGAGCAACCATTACATAAGTATTTTCCACATGGCCGTTGCCAATGGAACAGCCAAGAAGCAGCCTCCCCTTAAGAAATAAATATATAATAAAATATCATGATAAAATAAACCAATGAAGATTTGATAAATAAAATAAAGGGCATTACTAGAAAAAGAGGCAAATAGAGAAGGCATATCGTAGGAGTGAGCATACGGTTCGGTAAAATCGAATCGAATATAAACCGAACCGAAATCGAAATAATGTTTTTCGGTTTGGAATTCGGAAGGAAAAAGGGCATATTTCAGAAATTAGGGTACTTTCGACTGAATCGAACTTCCGAATTTCGAACCGAATAACCGAATTACTATAATTGCAAGCTCTAAATGGTGGATTTTTATTATTATGAGACTTAAATCTTTGAATCATGTTAGTGTTTTATGACTTATGTGTTGAAATATTTGATTTTATCATTGATGATGCATATAATTGTATATCTATTATTTATTGTTTACATTAAAAGAGAGAAGGTACAAGCTAACCTAACAAGTTCGGTTTTGTATAAAAACTGAACCGAACCGAATGATAATTTGGTTTAAACCGACGGAACCAAATTATAATTCGGTTTGAGATTTGATGGAATTCGGGGACTCGGTATGCATTATTAAACCGAACCGAACGAATGTCCACCTTATACAGAAAGCAAGCATCAATCATGTTTAGTGTAGATCCAACTTTAAAACAGAGAGTTGTTTAACTTTAGAGGCTACCAGCCGCCTAAGCAATGACATCAGCCACATTATTGTCAAAATTTTATTCAAGGGGTCAAACCTCCACTTCTAGAATTCTAATTAATACATGTATTATTAAACCTATCCCTCATATCCAAGATGTTGAATTTGCTTGCTTTTCCAACGTTGAACCTAATAATTAGATTAAATTGTGTTATTTGTATCGATCCAATAGTTCATTCTCTCCATAATAACAAGATTGATCTGAATCGTCACAAGAAAGACAACTGAAAGAAAATACAAATTTATACCCATAATTCGCAACTTACAAGGAACGACCTTTCTAGGTTCCAACAAAAGATCTGAGACTGAGAGTGGTCATGGCCTCGTGGGTCATAATTCAGAAGAAGGTTCCAAGAAAATATAATTCCCAGAAAGAGAGAAAATAGCGAATGCCAGTCCACTTTGGGTGGCCGCCAGCAGCCGATTCCCAATTAATTTTCTGTGCCAATTTACTCATTTAGTGTGACAAATCGGAGAAATCAAATGGGTCAATTGCATATTTAGTCCCTGAATTATGAAAAATTTGGCAAACGAGTCCCCTGGATAAATGCTTTAGTTACTACTTACTAGCACTGAAACTATAGATTGTGATATAAGTGATAACACCCTCACTTCATATTTTTCCCCCATTCTCTTACATTATAAACGTTGCCAAGCACCCGACTCCTTTCTTGAGATTCATTTCGATGCTTACAAATCAGCATTCTGTCATTCCTCTTAATGAAATAAATTTTCACCATGAGATGGAACTCTCCTAATTTTGCTACACATGGACAAATAAATGATTTAAGATGTTTAAGGTTAAGTAAACAACTACCAAGGAGTCGGAAAAGTCAATCGAAATTTAAGCTTGAAGGATTATACTATCTTTCAACCTCTTCAAGAATCTCAAAGGATACAATATAGCACTCCCTCAAGGAATATAACATAAGCTGATATTTTAAGTCACTAACAACAAAGTGTGTTAGTATGTGAATAACATTGGCTGAGGAATTGAGCATTGTTAAAATTAATACCCTTCAATTCTCGTATTTATCTTTGAAGGTCAACTAAAAGTGAATCCTATTCGGTTGAGTCCAAACATGCAACTCTCTTCTTAAAAAACTTAGGACATCTATGACGATTAGAATTGAATAATGGCTTCCTATCAACAATGCTTCTATATTCCCTCGTTGGGTTTTAATGGTAATTCATCCCGATCAAACTAATCCTCAATAAAAGTAAGACCTCACGGAATTTTCTAGTAATAGAGAGTTCTTCTAGATAAACTTGACATTAAATTAAAGTTCTCTAAGACTACTATCAAGAAGATGAAATAGTCAACGAAGATCTAGAATAACTGAATTCTACTGTCTTTCAACCCTTTCAAGAATCTCAAACACTTCCGTTGTATTGCACAACATCAATGCAGCTTAATAAGAAAACAAACACGAGGATTCACCATATAAAACTGGGTCAATAAGTCAATAATATTAGTTTGAGAAACTCTTTCGTTAAGCCTACATAATTGAGGGACTAAATCAGTTATTTGCTCAATAGAATAATAAGAAAATAAGTTCAACGAACGATTTCCACGTTGGCTGGCAAACTCGGAAATTCAAATGCCTTCTTCTTTGACCAGTTTTCCAGCACTCAATAGTCTCCCTTTATAAACCAAAAATCCCTTCCAGCAAATTTCCTTTTCCCTCAAAACAGCCTGTAAACATCTTCATCCTCTGTTCCAACAACCACCGTCTCCACCTCCTCCGCCCCTCGCCGTCGGCGCCTCTTCTCCCAAAGTCGCCTGCTTTTCCTATTTTCCTTTTCTGGGTCGTTGCTATTTTCAGAAGAAAACCAACAGAGATATTTTCTCAGTCAAACAATTGAAATGCCTCCGGCAGCGGCCACGATGTTTTCTCGTCCAGAGGAAACCCCTAATTTCTACAAGATTATGAATCCGGTCTCTGAGATCGTCACAATCGACGTCGGCGGCCAAATTTTCCAGACGACCCGGCAGACCTTGAGCCTCGCCGGTCCCAAATCGCTCTTCTCCCAGCTCGCAGAGTCAACCGGACTCGCCCCTCGGTTCATCGATCGGGACCCGGAGCTTTTCTCCGTCCTACTTTCCCTCCTCCGTACCGGGAACCTTCCCTCAAAGGCTAAAGCTTTCGACGTCGAGGATTTGGTCGAAGAGTCGAAATTCTACAACATCGAGTCACTTCTCGTCGATGCTTTGTCTCACCATTCTCATTTCGAGGCATTCAATCTCGAGAAATCGCTGCTTTTGCCGCTCAACGGCCGGGATTCGCCGTCCACCGTCGCCACGACGCCGTTGGGGACACTGCACGTCGCTCACGGCAGCAAAATCACGTCGTTCGATTGGTCGCTGCGGAAGAAGGCGACGATTCTCACTCAATTCACAGCGATGGATTCCCTATTGGCCATCTCCCCAAGCTTGGCAGCCGCCGGAGCCACTGATTTCTCCGGATTGCAGATCCTCGACATGGAGAAGGGTTTCGTCAGGGAAACCCTAAACTGGGAAAACGTGACGAAGTCGGGGTCAACGGTTCAAGCAATCGGGTCCTCTCCGGGTCTTCTGTTCTCGAGCTTTGAGTCCAGCCGAAGGAACTCGAATTGCATCATGGTGTACGATTTGCAGACTTTCTCGCCGGTGACGCAGATAGGCCATTACGAGATATTCGGCGCCAATCTTGATTCCGCAATCCCTTCCACGAAATTGCAATGGGTGGAGAGCTACAACGTGGTAATGGCATCCGGGTCACATTCTGGTCCGTCGGGCAGATTGGGTAACATCAAGTTGTGGGATATAAGGTCTGGTAATGTGGTATGGGAATTGAAGGAGAAAGTCGATTGCTTTTCTGATATTACTGTCTCTGATAGCCTTTCTGCAATCTTCAAAGTTGGGGCGAATTCAGGGGAAGTGTCCTATATGGACTTGAGGAAATTGGGTGATGAGGAATCTAGCAAATGGGTTTGTGTTGGTGATGAAAGGAAAGTTGGGAATGTCAGGAAGGAAGGAGTTGGCTGCAAGATTGAAGCTCATGGAAACCAAGTGTTCTGCAGCAAAGAAGGCAATATAGAGCTTTGGTCTGAGATTATGATGGGCAGCCGGAGAGCCAGCGAACGGTTGCCTGACCGAGTGTTTAGGAAGAATTTGATGGGGAGAGTGAAGGACATGGGAGGTGCAAGGATAACCAATCTGGGTTTTGGAGGGAATAAAATGTTTGTTACTCGTAAAGATCAGCAATCTGTTGAGGTCTGGCAGAGTTCTGCCAAGGGATTTTGATATCTTTTGCAAACCTGGTGAAGTCACTGTGTTGGTTTGCTTCTGTACCATATTAGTTGTGTTGTAAAATTCACATTCTTTTCTTGATTGCCTTCGTTTCTTAGATGATTATGATTATGAATCTGTAAATGTGTCATGTAATTCATAAGTGTGTTTATAGATAAGCTAGTTCCTCGAGGCTATGAATAAAATCGTCAGTGAGGAAGTCTCATGAATCTGCAGAACTACTTCATATTCATATAAAATCAGTTACTTGATACGATTTATTTGGCTTTGAAGATGCGGAATGTGTGCTCTTTGACTCTTTGTCTACTACCTTCTATACCAAACTCTTCATTCAAGATTTTACTGGTATGATTTGGTAGCTTTGTCTGTTAACATGCTACAATCATCTTTCTTTCAGCAGGGCACTTTGTTTGGTAATTGGAAGTTGGTATGAATCTTTCTAGCTCAGAGGCAAAACATAATCTCTTGGCATTGCGTCCTGCAATTAGGTTTGTCATTTGTCCAGCATCCATGGATTGTTGTTACTCCAATTGTAACCTCCTCTTAGTTTGTACACTTCTGAGCTGGGAAGACTCCAAAGGACGAGACTTGGTATTCATCTCAATATCCTTTTGAGAGAATGCCAGTTTGTCTCTTTGGCTGGCATGTCTTTTGTGTAATTGTGACTGTGTCTCCATGCAATCGGTGGTTTGAAACAGACAAGTGGCTTCCTGCCACTGGCTAGAGTCTGTAAGGATAAAATCCAGGAGTCAAGGTGGGAGATGCTTCCTCTTGCCATGAAGTATTCAGATTCCATTTCTTTTAGCAGTCAGAATCATATGCTCTTTTAACTCTTTTGCTGAACCTGTGCTGTTATGTTAATGATTGGTTTCAGCCTATTTCCGGGCTAATGCTGTTGTTTTGTCTGGAATAAAAGATGTTCGTAAATGATGCTTTCCTCTTCATACAGATATTGATTCAACCATTTTCCAGGGATGCTGATTCCTTGGCAGGCTGGCACTTACCTTTCCCTCTTCTGATTAAGTTAATCAACTGAATCATGATTTGTCTTTTCAGTACATGGTAATGCCAATATACTACCTTGTATGTTATTTACTTGATTTTTTTCTTAAGCTACATTACTCTTTGGCCGTGCACTTTTTTCAAACAACTCACGATACTGTGAAATTAAACCTTACAAGATATGTGTTTCCGTCTGGATGATATATCAGAAGAAGATTTTGACAAACGAATCTTTAAAGAAGAAGCTATGTGTTTCCTTAGCAGATGTGTGGTGTGTGTGGCAAGTGAGGAAGATGTGAATCACCTCATTCTTAGGGTCAACATAGTGACTGAAGGGTATCTCGAGGATGATAGCTAAATATCTGCAGGTTACAAATGTTTTAAATCTCGAGACAGCAGACGTGACAATAGTTATTGCAAATTGACCGCATCAGCAGCCTCAAGGGCCACAGGATTGGTGCACCAAGATTCTTCTAAGCGCGTTTTGTTGGATAATTTGGAAGGAAATGAACTCACGGACCTTTGATGGCAAAGCATCGTCTCCTCAGGTTATCTGCTGCAGAATCGGAAACATGTTTGCACAATGGCTAATTGTTGCAAGGAAAGTGCAAAGACCAATTGTGGAAGAGTGGCTGACCAATTTGCAGAGGAGTTTGCTTCCAATACAAGGACCACAAGAGAGCAGCAGCCTGACCTGCGAAGAGATGTATGGAAGTAGCCAAAAAATGCAGATGATGTTGTAAATGCGTTGAGTCTCTGCTGCATATAAGAATTAGGAAGTGGCTACACTGAAGAAGCTCCCCTGATGGAAATAGCCTGTCTTGCCTTGATGGGGAATGAGATACAGATATCTTTGAGAAGAAGAAATGATAAGGCGGTGTGTGTATGTTACTGTTTTTTTTATAATGGTGTGTATGTTACTGTTGCATGTTCGTCATTTGTGCTACAGAAAATCATTGGTGATATGCGAAAGTGGCTGGAGGATTGTGGTTATGTGATCATTGGAAATGTTCCTATCTCTGATACAGAGCTTAACGCTAGAGATTGCATGGTCTTTTTGCTCCTCATTTACCGATGCTACTACAGTACTACTGCTGTTGTAAGTGCTGATTGTAAGAGCAGTTTGTGCTGCTCATGTTCCTAAAATCTTTTTTTGGAAGTAATGATAATAACACTAACCCATTTCTTTACATATTACCATTATAAAGAACATGATCAAGAGTTGATTTGTTCACTTGTTATTATATCTTCCTGGGCAGCAGAAAGCTCTCTGTTGTCGAAGCTTGATCTTATCTGCCTGCAGATAGTCTTACTTTTCACTCGAAAATGGCCACACACTTTCCTCACAGCTTTCACTCTCATTTTGAGTTGTTATTGTTTAATCCCATCTCTTATGGGAAAACCTAAAAGCTCTGTCTCTCCATGTCAAGTAATGAAGTGGATGGTGTGAGAATTGGCCATTTGCAAATCTGTAGTGTACAACTGTACATGTGTATCTAGTATCTATAGGGCTAGGGTTTTGTAGGTCCTGTTTCTGAAAGTGGTACTCTTTTTTTTTTTTACTGAGCTCAAGTAACATGCTCCAAACTCTAAAGTAGTCATAAACGATACAAGTTCAGTTTGTACCATAAAGATATTTGTACGAAAATATATAGAGGTAAATGAAACCTGTACCGTATCTTTGATAATATATAAATGACGAAATTGGATTAGAATGGAAATGTGGGTTATCAATCCTCGTACCTCTCGCATGCTAAGCGCGAGCCGCTCTATCGTCGGACCTACACCTCCTTGGCCCTGAAAGTGGTACCCTCCTAGTCGGTCTTCATAACCCTTCCTTGTTGTGGAAGGAAAACAGATGTGATGGAACACACTACACTACACTACTGAGTGACTTTGACTTGGTCCTTCAAACATCCAATTAATGGTTTCAGCCATTTCTGAGGCCTGGAACCTCTTGTCCAATTTGTCTAACTGCATGGGACCAATGACAGTAGCTAGACAAGACTTCTAGTCACCCCAACGAGAATCCTCAACAATATGCCAACCGTCCATTGATTGTTTCTGCCATCTGCCATCTTCAGCCTCCATAACTTCATATATTAAAGAAACCAGGGACCCGTTTGGACAGTGGATTGTAGTAATTCGTTGATTTTCGACCGGGGGGATTTTGAAGGCAAAAGAAAGGCCTCTCTGCTCATTTCCACCATTATTGGCAGAGAATGTAGAGCAGCAGAAGTTATTATGCAGAGGGATTGTGAGGGTAATATCAGTCAGAGGGTCAAATTTTTCAAATCAATCAGATCGATAATGCTCAATCTCTTTCTCTCTGCGACTCTCATTCAATATTGTCTACTTCCAAATTAATCATTCTTCACCCACTTCTCTAGTAGCGTTCCTGTAACATGTTTAAAAAAAAAAACCTTCTTCTTCCATTACAGCAGAGCAAATGAGAGGGCATTTTTGGTTGCCCCTTTGAAATTCAAAACTTCGACAATTTCGCAACAAACAGGGACAACATGGTCGTTTTAGTGAGTCGTAGACGTCAGGGTAAAACGAAAAAGGAAAATCCACCTAAATGTTGGAATTAGGGTGCTAAACATCAAATTTGTTATAATGGTGGTTGATTCGGGTCCAAATGTACTCATTTTACTCCTCATTTGTTATTCGTTTAGCTTAGTATTTCATCGTTCCTTGACATATTTCACGCTAGGTTGTGCTTGTTTTGATACATTTTAGGTCCTAGCACGTATGGAAGGGTCGATGTCGAATTTTGGGATAATCGGAGGTCAAAAAGTGCAAAAACCGAAGAGACAGTGAAGTGAAGGCGTCCCAGGAAACAACCGCAGTTCACGGCCTGACAAGGCAGTTCACGGTCTCCTAAGACCGTGAACTTAGACCACAACCCGTGAACATCAAGGCGTCCAGGGCCAAATCCGAAGTTACTGACGCCAGGCAGGCCATCAACCGTGAACCCAGGAAGCAAAGCGGTGCGTTCTGGAGACGAGTGAGTTCACGGACGCGTTTAGGTGTTCACGGCCGTGAACTGGCCAACGCGTTCGTGAACTGATCACTTTCGGGCAAATATGAAGACAACAACGGGGAGAGAGAGGGGGAGCTGGTTTTTAGAGAAGGAACACTTTCTTTCTCTAGGGTTTCAACCTAAAACACCGAAGGGGAGTTCTAGTGAGAGAGAGAGTGCTAGTGTGATCTTGGGGCATCATTGGAGGCTTGGGTGGAGATTCAAGCCTAGAAGAAGAAGAAGATCTTGAGCTCAAATTTGTAATCCCTCTCTCTCTCTCTCTTTAGAAACTCATTCTTTTCTCTTGGGTGTTGTAGAACCCTAACCAATACTTTGTAATTACTTGGTTAGATTGAATGACTTTGTATGGGTTTGCATCAATTTGAGTATTAGAGGTGCTTTCATGGTGATTGTGCTTAGTTGTGCTTTCCAAATCTTGTGTGCTTGCCTAACCTAGATTAGAGGAAAACCACACCTTTTTAGGTAGGCTTGACAAGCTTGGTTTTCTTGGACTCTTTGTGTCTACTATCTAGGATAGAGATGAGCATCTCTCTTGACTCAAGTTTGCATCTAGGTTGGTTGTGATTATGCCGCTCAAACTCCGGTTTGAGGGAGAGACCTAGGCAACTACTAGAGACTGAGTGAGAGGATCGATCCCGTGACAAATCGATCTCTAGTAAATTCATCCCGTGACAAATGGATCACTAGTTGCTACTCTTAGCGGTACCCCTAGACTTGGTGAGTGGATCGATCCCGTGACAAATCGATCACTAGTGAATTGATTCCGTGACAGATTGATCACTAGTTGCTCACCCCCGCGGTTCACCAACGAGTCATAGTAGCTAGTTAGGGGAAACAACTCCTGGGTGAATCTCCCTTAGTTAGGATTTTCCTTCATTTACTTTTCCTTGCTTGTTTAATTTGTAGTTCCATTAGACCTAAATCCCAAAACTGTTTTGCTAGATAACAACTTAAGCGATTGAAGTAGGGGTACATGGATCGGCCCGGGTTGACAATTTAAATACTTGCTCTATACTGCACCCGACTAGAGTTTAAAAACTTGGGCTCTAGTCGGGATTAATTTGTGGTGTAGTTTCTTGCGAGGTAGTGCTAACACTAATTAAAGTTAATTAATAAGAACTTTTTATTTTTTTTGACTTTGTATATTGAAGGGGTTGACTATTTTTAACCGCTGATTTTGAAAGGAAGGGGTTGACTATTTTTAACTGTTGATTTTGAAAGGAGGGAGACAAAAAAGCATACCACAAAGCTCAAAAACAGTTCGCGTCATCACAAATTTCTCTAAACAAACAAGAAAACTCATAAGATTGATCACAAATATCAAGAAGCATACCATAAACATGGGCATATGCATGAATAGTATCCTCTTGGCTCTATTGCCATTTATGGCCAACCCTAGCTACATGCAAGGCAAGCCACCGCCTAAGAATTTCTATATACATATTACATACACATATTTTTTTTCAAACTATACATATTCCTATATTGAATGCATGGAAGAGTTCAATAGTACCACGTTCGTATGTGAATCGTGGGGGGAGCTAAGCTAGCTAGGCAGCCACACTGGCACAAGCCAAGCCAGATAGCTGCCTGCCTCACTGTCCCGCACAATTAGGTGAAGAAGACGATGTCTCATTTATTATCACCGGATAAGTTGTTGAAGATCGAGAAAATCAGCCATTCATATTGGTTAATATCGTATGAAAATGAGCCAGCTGAGCCGAGTTTTACCCCAGCTTGAGCTTGACTCGTTAATAAAAGAGACGAGCTTGAGCTCGAGCCATTTATTAACGAGTCAAGTCGAATCGAGTTCGAGCTACGCTTGCTTACTAAATTCTTAGATCGTATTTGATACATTCATTTTGTATGCCGTGTATGGTACATGTGATTGATGTAACGATAAAAAAATCAAATGTTCAACATTAATTAATCTTATATTATAATTTGTAGGTTTCATATTGTTTAGTTAATAAATTTTAACTAGTTCAAATCATGTTATTTCATAGTATCGAAACAATTTTGTACATAATTTCTTTATAGAATTAAAAATAAGGCATATTTTCTTACATGTTCAACATGTTAAACTTCACATGATGTGAGATATATAATTTAACAATCCTATGAATTATGAAAGTCCAAATTAGATCGATTCGTCCATAAGTCGGTGATCAAGTTGGCCCTCAAACCACAATGTTGAGACATCTCACGAGCTCTAAATGAGCCAACTTACGAGTTGAGCTCAACAAGCCACCGAATCGAGCTAGCTCGCGAGCTGAACAAAGCTAAACTTAAGTTTGGCTCGTTAATAAACGAGTCGAGTTTCGAACGAGTTTTTCCCGATTCGAGCCTCGAGTTGCTCGACTCATTTGCAGCCCTACTTTGTACTATCCTATCGTTTTACAATGGCCAAAAAAAATCCAAAACTTCTTACTTTTTTCTACGAGTTACCTTTTTAAGCATATTCATCTCTTTACTTGCTAAGAATCCCTTTACTTACAATTTGCGGTTATTAAATATCAAACACAAAATTCAAACTTTAGTTTAATTGGCATAGCATTATTGATCCATGTGGAAATTGAAGGCGACAACATGCATTGATCAAAGCCCTGCCTGCCACCGGCCGTTTTCAAGTTCCGGTGCCACGCATTTAATGGCCGATCTTCGTTAAATGCCTAGATACCAAACACCCATTTCCACAATTTCAAACCCTAATTAATACACACACACATATATTGTAGCTATTAGCTAGTAGCAACTCATAGCAAGTGATCAGTTGATATTATATCTCTCTTTTGCCAACTCCCCGCCTCCCTCGTAATTACATTGCCTCCCTTCTCGTTCAGTTCCTTTCTTCCACTATAAAGAAACCCATCACCTCTCCCTTCCACAACCCAACTACTCCATCTTCCTTCACTTTCTCCTCAAACAAACAGATCGACCAAATCAAATTAAAGTTCGTTTCTTTGCCCACATTTCTCATCTGGGTTCCCCTTCTTTTCCGCCATTGTAGTGTTCTTCCTTCAGTAACGATGGAAACGACCACAGTTCTAGCCGTTCTGTCCACCGTGGCAGCCTACTTGCTGTGGTGGAAGTTCGTGTCGCGTCAGCTGTCGGGTCCACGTGTCTGGCCACTACTGGGCAGCCTACCAGGCCTCATTGCCAACTCCGGCAGAATGCACGACTGGATCACCGACAACCTCGCCGCCGCCGGCGGCACGTACCAGACCTGCATCGCCGGGATCCCTTTTCTGGCCCGGAAGCAAGGCCTCGTGACCGTCACGTGCGATCCAAGAAACGTGGAGCACATCCTGAAAGCCCGCTTCGACAACTACCCCAAGGGCCCCACGTGGCAGTCCGTCTTCCACGACCTCCTCGGGGAAGGCATCTTCAACTCCGACGGCGACACGTGGCTGTTCCAGCGCAAGACCGCCGCGCTGGAATTCACCACCCGGACCCTCCGACAGGCCATGGGCCGGTGGGTGAACCGGGCCATCAAGCACCGGTTCTGCCCCATCCTCGAGTCGGCCCGGCTCAGAGCCGAGCCGGTCGACCTCCAGGACCTGCTGCTCCGGCTCACTTTCGACAACATCTGCGGCTTGGCCTTCGGGAAGGACCCGCTCACCCTGTCCCCTGATCTCCCAGAGAACGGGTTCGCGGTGTCCTTCGACCAGGCCACCGAAGCCTCGCTCCAGCGGTTCATCGTGCCCGAGCCGTTCTGGCAGCTCAGGAAGTGGCTCCGGCTCGGCCTGGAAGCGGACATGAGCCGGAGCCTCCAGCACATGGACGATTACCTGTCCGACATCATCAACACGCGCAAGCTCGAGCTGGCAGCAGGCCGGCTCGAGCGGACCGACCACGTGGGGAACCCGCACGACGATTTGTTGTCCCGGTTCATGAAGAAAAAGGAATCATACTCGGAAAAATTCCTCCAGCACGTGGCGCTGAATTTCATCCTGGCTGGACGCGACACGTCGTCCAACGCGCTGAGCTGGTTCTTCTGGCTGGTGACTCAGAACCCCAGAGTGGAGGAAAAGATCCTCCTCGAGATCTGCACCGTCCTGGTAGAGACACGTGGCGAACTGTCATCATCCTGGTTCGACGAGCCGCTAGGGTTTGAAGAAGTTGACCGATTGATATACCTCAAGGCGGCACTGTCCGAGACCTTGAGGTTGTACCCGTCGGTGCCGGAGGACTCGAAGCACGTGGTCGCCGACGATGTGCTCCCCACCGGAGTTCATGTTCCGGCGGGATCGGCGGTGACCTACTCGATCTACTCCATGGGCCGGATGAAGTTCATATGGGGAGACGACTGTCGGGAGTTCAGGCCGGAGAGGTGGCTGTCGCCCGACGGCACGAAGTTCGAGGGACATGACGCGTACAAGTTCGTGGCGTTCAATGCGGGGCCCAGGATCTGCCTGGGGAAGGACCTGGCGTATTTGCAGATGAAGTCGATCGCGGCGGCGGTGCTGCTCCGCCACCGGCTGACGGTGGTCCCGGGGCACCGCGTGGAGCAGAAGATGTCGTTGACTTTGTTCATGAAGTATGGTTTGATGGTGGAGGTTGGGACGAGGGACCTTAGGCCGATTTTGGAGAAGGTAAAGGCAGTGGCAGTGGAGGGCAGCCCTACAATTAATGGGGGAGTTGCCCTTGAGAAGGGCAATGGTCACGAGGGTGGTACTGCTGATCATCAATTGGCCGCCCCGGTTGCTTGATATATATTTTGATTGTAAAATTATATGTTATGTTGGTATTTTTAATTTTATGGCCCTGGTATACGTAAGGATATATGTCAATTTATCGTATGCATTAATGCATGGCAGGAAACTAATTTAAGTAGATATATGTAGACGACGGTAAATGTCAAGGGAGAGACCGTCCCAAAAAAAGATATTGTCAAAGGAAGAATAAAAATGAATTGTTTATGGGTTATTGATATGTGTGTTATGAATTGTGATTGTGGGTTAATCATCATCACGTTGGTAGTCAAGGTAAAGTTATTATAGATAGATATGCAATGATTAGGAATGAATTCAAACAATACATTTTCAATGAATTGCATTTTTATTCAACTCGATCCTGATTAGAAATTGAGAAGTAGTAGTACATTCAAAGATTGGGACCGGATCTTCCAAGATGAGTGACTAACGAGGGATGACAAAATAATCCATCATTGCGGGTATTCAATCGAATCCGATTTGATGTTATCTGAAAAGGTTCAATCACTATAATTCATGAGCGGGTTTCCTTAATTAAACCCGATAAATAGGGTAATGTGTATTTTTAAGTATTTTTTTAACGGGTTTCCTTAGTCTAGTAGATTATAAGTAGATAGGCTTGTAATTTTCCTTTGAAGCTATATAAGTCGTCACATAAATGCACATATTTGAGACCTAGAAGATGATCGCGGCTCGATTTATACCGATTACCGAGTACATATCTATAAGTATATCTTAATTAGCAATGGGCCCTTTTGCTTGAATTTTTCCAAATCTCTTTTTCGGCTCCTTTACTGCGCATAATTGTTTGCAAAGAGAAAGTCTACAATGTACGTACTTAACTGCTTTTGACACAATTAGGAAGACACAGAATTAACTGAATGTGTGTAGGCATGTGGACCTGTACATGTATGAGTACTTCAGTACTGGGTAGTTACCTTGATGTTGAGATGGCAAATAATGCAAGGGCATATGAAATCAACTTCTGTAGCTAGAAAGTGATAATTAATATTAGCGTGGGTCCCGGCCATTTGGTTGGAGGAAGGTGAGGTATGAAATTTGATAATGTAATAGGGTGTATAGCTTATTGTTGTATAGTTTTTTTTTGGGAAACACGTGATAAAAATAGTGAATTTCAATAGGAAAGAGACGTATATGATGCAACGAATCAAAATTCAGCCTTATGAACTAAAATCAAGTACCTGTTACCTTGTGAAACAATATTATTTCTGGTAATATGATGAGGTGGAGTAAGTTTTATAGAAACCGAATTCCAGAAAATCGAATAAAAAATCGCCTATCCCACCGGTTTTTGGGAAATGAGCATCTCACAATCGTTGCTAGCTTTTACTCGGCCCGTTGGCCGATTAATTTGCTTTATAAAACTTTCATCTTGTCATCATTGTGCTTTCTGGTTTTTTGTCAAACCATGATAAAATCTAAAGAAATCAAGAATGAACAACACGATTTGGGATAGGAATCACCGTTCCTGTATCTCTAGAAAATGGTGGTAAACACGGACTACCCTGCCAAACTGGTTTGGATTGAGATTTTTATCGGGTATCAGGGAACCGTGTGATTATAAATTTCTATTTGAAAATAAAAATAATGAAAGAAAAAAGATGACTGCAATTCGCCATTTGCACATCACTGATTCAGGAATAAAACTATAGAATTTTGAAAGGAAACTGAAAATGTTTAGGATCGTTTTAATGTTAAAAATAACCAAATAGATCTTTCTGTTTAGTTTTTTACTAACAAATACCAAACGATTCCCTAAAATATACACTATAATTTAACATTATGATATCAAATAATTACATAATATATATTTGAAATGATAAAAATTGGACTAATTGGGTTGGTCGAGGTTGAACCATTGAATAACTTTAAAATACATTATATTTTAGCCACTAAGATATAAAATAATAGCATAATATATATTATGCTAGAGAAAATAGCTTGTTTTAGAATGACAAACCCATGATGTTCATTTGTTTTACTTGATGGGCAAATCATGTGTAGGTCAGGCCCATTCAACTCTTTTATTTTTATGATTAGCGGTTACCCCATTAGAATCCATGCATTAGTTTATTGTTAATTTTTTTTCTTTTTAGCAATAAAAAGGAGTATTGTTTTTGCCTTTTCATATATATTTTAGCACCACGGAGAAATAAAAGGACTTAAAAAAAATTGACACTCCTGGACCCATTTAAATCCGCATGTGTACAGTAAGTTGGCCTGTTCCACAGAGGAAAAAGAAAAAAAATTGACACTCCCTATTCTACCCTTCCTACAAACGCTCATGGAGCAGGGAATTTGAAATGAGAGAAAGGTTTTTTCCTCTCTGCGATTATATGTTTTTAATTTAAAAAGATACAATAAATTAATTAGTGTGATTGGTTATGATCTTTGCTTTTCTTTAAAGCGGTCATGGTTCGATCCTAGTAAGTGTCTTTTTAATGAATAAAAAAAAAGTAATTGTGAAGACCAAAATGTCCTTCCTACTTTCACTCTAAAGCAGAAAATTTGAAACGAGACTTCATGTTTTCTCATTTGACTTTTATTTATTGTGTAGATATACTACTTACTAAATGTGGATTAATTGTCATTACATGATTTTCCACATGGCAGTGAGTCTGGACCTAGATACCCACTGACTCGGCAGGCTCTGCTCAAACCTGAAGGATAAAGCAGATCAGTTTGTCTATGAGGTTAGTTAGAGTAGGGTCATCATTTGATCCTATAAGGATTGGGTAGGGTCGGGTCCACTTAGGGTAGTCACTTTTTGTCCTATAGTCCATAACAACAACTACTGATTTGAATTCCTTGTACCAAAAGATTGGACATGTTTGCAAAATTTTAAAAGTCTAGGTACTATATCAATTAAATGGTTAGACAAAATTTTATGGTCCTATTTGTAAAAGTAAAGTTGAGGTACTAAATTGTAAGAAAAAATATATTTTGGTACCAGAATATAACTTTTCAAATATAAGTTAGTTTGTTTGGGCCGACCCTCGACCCGACCCAAGCAGGTCATATAGGACAAGGTATTTTAGGGTAGCTTTATGGTCAAGGTTGGGTTTGGTTCAATTTCACCCCTAATTTTGTATGCATGAGAGTTGTTTATCCTACTCGATCGTTGTGAGCTTTATATAATTTCTGTTACATACTCCATTATGATTTAGGGAGAATTTGTTGTATTTGTGGTGGTGGTGGTTAAGGCATTCATGAGTATCACTCGAAAAATAATGAGGACATAAACATCATGCATAGCAGTCGATGGATTGATGAGAACCATAAATGAGAAGAAGTAGGATGGTTTATGAGGACTTTGCAAATTAGGAAGACGAGTAAAGGAGAATTGACACCTAAATGCGTTTGCCTGGCTGGCTACGATCGAAGTTTGGGCTCAGCTGAAGCCTGAAAGCCCTGGGCTTGTAGCGATGTGGATATAGTAGGATTAGGACTTGTCCAGAATATAAAAGTCGAGAAATTTGACATCTCTGGAAAGTTGAAGGGCTGAAGGTAATATTTGAGATCGACACTTAGGTGTCAATTCTAGTTTTACTCATCTTCCTTTTGAAAGTCCTCATAAACCATACTACTTCTTCTCATTCTCAATCGACTGCTATGCATGATGTTTATGTCCTCTTTATTTTCGAGTGATACTCATTAATGCCTTAACCGCCACAAATATAACAGATTCTTCTCAAAGTCTAATGGAGCATAAAACGAAATCATATAAATTTCACAACGATCGAGTAGGAAAAACAACTCACATTCATGTAAAACGACAATTAATTCTCATTTTTAGTAAATATATATTAATTATCACTTTGTTTTGGTGGAACTGGTTTTGATATGATATAATTTCTTACAATGTCAACATGCCAATGTTCCGTATTTTTAAGTTAAGACAATATTTATGGAAAGTGATTAGGAAGAATGAGAAATATTTTGGTCCACGAGATAATTATAAATACTTGGAGGATATCGGTGGTTGAAGTGTTAAACCAAGCTAGTCAAAGTCATAGTTGTAGCCAATATTCAGGTGGGTTCAATGTGACATTTATAAATATAAAAAAAATTCACACCATACCCATTACTCTATTTGTCGGGTTTGAGGAAAACCCACCCAAAAGTTATATCGATATAATTTTTGACGGAAAATCAAATTGAGTTCGATTGTATACCGACAATGATAAATTGTTTTGTCTCTCTAATTAATTAGGCATTCATCTTCACTCCAATAAAGGATCCATTACTCGTGGAAATTAACAATTAAAATTTTTTTCTCATATTTAGGGATAACTATTTTGATTTTAATAAAAATTACTTATGATTTTAGTACTTTGATTGTCTCATATTTTAGCAACAATGAAATTATAAATAAGTGAGAATCTCAATTTCTCAAATAATTTAACTATACTGATCATATTATATATTGTTAATTTTTTTAAAAAATATTTTTAATGAAAAATTTTTACAATAATTTTTCTTTCAAATTACATACCCACATAAAATCGACTTGTCCCGACTCGTGTCGTATGATAAATTAACCGACCTGTCACGAATCGAATACAAATACCAAAATACCTGCTGGATCTGTCGCATTGTCATTCCTACTCGAACAGAATTGAAGAAAAAATCACAATTCATTGAAAAGGTCTAGTTTAAATTCATTCCTAATCATTTGTAATGTATGTCCAGACAAACATGCATGTCTATAGAGAATATCTTTACCTCGATCACCAAAGGTAATGATGATCATTAACCCAAAATCACAACACACATATACTTCATTTTTATTCTCATTTGACAATATTTTTTTATTTTTGGGACGGTCTCTCACTTGACAGTTGACGCCGTCTACATATTGATATATCTACTTGCTTAGTTTCCTCCCATGCATGGTAAATGAACATCATATCTTCACGTATCCAGGACCATAAAATAAAAAAAGACCATATAACATACAATTTTTTTACCATTGA